TAATGTGTCTAGATAGTGACTAAATACCTATAACAGTTGAGCTGCTATACTTCAGGTACTATACTCGAGGAATACAACTATTCACATGCCACTAGGATTGAGTACGAACCTGAGAAGTGATATTGACAATGATAAAAAGTAAAGAGGTAAGAAAATATAAGTTTGGTAAATAGAAACCAAAGATATCAAAAGAGTTCAAAGAAACCCCTTCAAAAATCTTGACAGAACTACCAACTACCAAGCAAAACTGTTTTTGCACTCTAGTGAAGTTGATACGATTCTAAAAGCATTTCCATTATTAACTTAAAGGAGGTTTAATGTATATAATAGAGATTGACTAATTTCTTTATTGCACTCTGGTAATTGCACCTACACTTCCATTATTCTATGAGACAGGTGAGCTGTTCTTTATTCCAATTCTTTAAGTCGGACTTCTAGAAGTGTAGCCATTGAGGCGGTGGCTAATGCTTTTAGTGTGTAAGAAAACTGCATTGATAAGGAGCTCTCTCAGTTTATTAGTGTTGGGAAGATACACTATAAGATCGATAAAGTTAAAGAGCTGCCGCCGTATTAGAAAAAACCGTCCCAAATTCTACGAATGCTCTATACCATGCAACCGTCAAACAAGAGGATTTCTCTTAATTGTATGATTTAATGATATCTAAGGCAATTTCTTCCTCCTATAGCACAACCATTCCAGTTGTAATGACTTTACCTTGAGCATAGATATATGGTTAAATTTTAGTTTGTAACTAAAAAAAGATTTATTCTAATACTCTGAATTCTTATTTCTAATTGTCTTGTTTTTCCTCATACTGGCTTTTCAACTCCATATCAACTTCATTGGTGTTCAAAACTTTACTATGCAAACATTACCTTTTATTTTTTTTTAATGAAGAAATGGGATCACTTTTGTCAATCTGGGTGTTTCTCAAAAAACAAGACAACGAATTTTCCAAACCTTATGGAGCGAGGATGTTTTAAACAACTAAGAATAAATACATCTGAGATTAATGTACTTTATTAGACGAACTAATGAGGAAAATTTAATATTCAGAGTTTCAGATGAAACTTTGTTTAATGAGAATTCATTATGTGTGTCTTAGCTGCCATAGGAAACTCAAATAGACTCCAGAAGAAGAAGAAATAAAAAAAATACCTTATTTTTCCTATTAAGGGTTATGATCTATTTGAAGTAAAAGTGCTCATTTGTGTATCTCAGAATTTTAACCCATAATAATTATCATGAATATGAGACCCCTTTGAATAAATTCTACCAATCATTTGAACTGGACATGGACGCACAACATACGAAATGCACAAAATGGAAGAGTAAAAGAAGTTTAATTTCACTTGCCCGTATCAATGGATAATTTCAGAACTTCTGCTCTCTTCACTAGAAGTTCACCTTTGCTAGCGAGAGAAAAACTTAAAGCCCATTCTATTAGTTCAGAGAGGTGTTATTTACTTTAGCCCGGTGTGCATAAGCAAAACCAAAACGCCTGAAAGCAATCGGATTGGAAGAGAGAGGTGAGGGCTTTCATCACAAAGGAAAAGGGAATGGGATTTCGGTTGATGAAAGGAAGGCTTACACGGATGATAAAAGCGCAGGGGAGAGAATGAGCCCAGGTATAGAAGGGGGCAAACTGGACGTGATGTGTCCGGCCTTATTTGCAGCCGTCTTTGTTCTCTTCCTCATCCTCCTCACGCCGCGTCCGGGCGACATTCGGTGCTAGAGGGCTCGTAACAGCGTAGACACCCTGCTGCACTCATCGAGGCGGGCCACGACCCTTTCGCCACAGGGGTCTGCCCTGCCGATTTTGTCGACTACATATAGATTTTGGGAATTAATAAGCTTGGAAATCCATTTGAAAAAAAAATCATAGTTTTTTCTTGGAAATCCATTTGCTTTGCTGAGGTGTGAAATACACAATTCATAGTTTGTGGAAAATAAGCGAGGCAAATAAGGTACGCAAAGGTAGATGGAAGGAGGAGACGACGGCTTGCTAACGGGAGTTGGACGGAAACATTAGGGCAGTTTTCAAGTGCTCAAAATTTAAAGCATAATGTACAACAACCGATAGCCATATGTTACACCAACACTTTTATCCTTCCTAAAATACCCTAACCATCATTGGTGTTTATAAGTTTTTAAGACATATATTCTAAGGTGACAACTCCGGTACCAATTTGAAAAATGGAGTACCGTACCTACCATGCATTTGATTGGTCCAAATCATTATATGTTTTTTAATTTAGATATAAATAATTCAACTGTATCATTCTTATTGGTCCATTTGGACAAAGGTACGATACATTTGGTGTACCATAGAATCAACCATATTCTAAACTATTACGGTTACCGTCGTCATCATCATTATTATATGTAGAACATGCAGGTTAGTTGACACATGTATCCCCACATGAAAATAATTGTGTCTTTGGAAGCATGTATAGTAGTAATATTCTGCACATATACTGATATACTTGTCTGTTTTTCTATGGCATTTGCACGAGTATTAATCCGTTCCGGATACGGTTCGGGTCACCCGGGTCACCGGGTAATGCTGGGTTCGGAGAGATTTGCGGTTCACTAGTCTACCGGACCGGATTCGGCTCCGGGTCGGCCGGTTCCGGGTCGACCCGGCCGGTCCGGTTCGGGTCTTACAATATAGATGTATCCCCACATGAAAATAATTGTGTCTTCCTAACGAAAAATAATAATAATAATAATTGTGTCTTCCTAACGACGTGTCATTGGAAGCATGTATAGTAGTAGTATTCTCATTATTCTGCACATATACTTGTCTGTTTTTCTATGGCATTTGCACGAGTATTAAACTACTAATTAATTAATTTAATAATGACTATAAATATTTTGTTGCGGGCTTCTTCTGTAGTCTCTTAATTTGGAGCTATTCCAATTTGCAAATGCAAACCACGTAGCTCTAACAATTTGTCTATTTTATTAATTTGCAAACCACACGCCCATTTATATCTACTTGTTTAAGGTTAACTTTTTTTCAAATCAATTCATTTATTTTAAATTGATACTCGTACTATTTTAAAAAAAATATGTTAACTCTTATCCTATAACGTGAAAATTTGAGATTGTTACATATATATACTTATACTAGCTATACACATTTTTTAATTTAATTAGTGGTTTCATCAATTGACACCATAATCTACAAGGTAGCTCTGTCCATGGTTATTATTAGTATCAATGATCCTTGTTACAGGGTGGATAATGTGACCTAACTAACTAATTTTAAGATCAAATAATATATACAGACATACAATACACACGCATATAGATATATATGCATATTTGTGTGTAACAAAAATTAATATAGTACGTAATACTCCGTAATAATAAAATATGATAACAAATGGATTTTATGGTATAAATCTATCCATAAATAGTCAATTTACATGAATAAAGATATACGAAGTACATCGTAATATCTTACCAAAAACATTGTCAATTTATTTACATGTTAAAACAATAATTTCATCAAATCTATTAAATTCCTCTCATTTTAAATTTATTTGTAATATTGTAAACAATATTAAAATGTTGTTAAGTTCTTTTCATTAATAATTTCAAATCTCATTTTTTTAATTTGTTTACTAATAAGGAATAAAATTTACTAATTTTTTAAAATCTTTTCTAATAAATTTTAATTTTAATCTTTTTTACTAATAATTATTTACTATTAACACAGTTGTGCATTGACAAACATAAAATTGGAGAGGATGCAAATAAAAAAGAATAGAGAAAGTATTACCTAATAGGTGTATATAACTACATTGTCCTAGGTATTAGTTACTCATTATAAAAATAATGAATAAATTCCACTTTTGATCGTAAGAGTATCGCACCAACTCCTCTATTTGCCCATGTCTTTGATTGACCTCTTCTATTATATGACAATTGTGTTTTTGTTCATATATGGTCCTTCCATCTGTTTCCGGTGGTTAAATGGTCAAGAAACATTATTAAATTCAAGTATCGAAAGTGGAAAAAGTGAAAGATGTGAAAATGTGAACTTGACACAAAAATCATAGGACAAAAATCATAACACAAAAATCTATTGTTAGGAACTCTTATTGTGAAGTGTTTTACAAAGTATATATATACTACATACAGAGTAATAAATAAAAGGTGACAATTACGATACTCATTTAAAAATGGGTTACGGTACCTATCATTCAATTGATTGGTCCAAATCATTATATAATTTTGAATTTAAGTAATTCAAATGCAACATTCTAATCGACCCATGTGCACAAATATATGATACCTTATGGGTACTAAAGAATTCCCCTAAATAAAAACAAAACTGACAAGCCCAAACTTAGAGCCCGTTTGGTGACCCTGTTTTTCACCTTATCAGCGAACTTTTTTATCAAATAAACACGTTACATTAGATTTCACTCACTGAATTGTGTAATACTTCCCCCGTTCTTTAATTCTTGCAACATTGTGATTTTTGCACTATTCACATATCTTACTTTGACCACGATTTTCTACTAATATACATAATCAATTACCATGTATAAAATGTTATTGAATTCCCATCAATATGAATTTCCAAAATATCAAATTTTTATAATGTTTACTAATACATAATTAAATATAATTGCAGTCAAAGTTGTGCGTTGACAAACGTGAAAGTCAAACTGTTACAAGAATTAAAGAACGGGGATAGTAATAAGAAAAGGTGAGGTTAGAGTTACTTTTTTATCTGTATCGACTGAAGTTATTATTGAAGACTATTTTAGGTGTTTTTTCATACATTTTTTTCTTTGTTTGATCAATAAAGTAAATTTCTAATATAATTTTTCTCATAAATGAGTGAAATCAACGAAGCAAACTTCAAAAATTTAAACAAATAAATCAATGCGTCAATTTAGATATTAACTCTAACTATGCCATTTGAAATCGGGGCCTATATAAGGAAATGATCAAACTCCCACAACTCTCATCTTCGAACCACTCTTTAATTTGTTCAAGAGTTTCCCGCTGATAATAAAAGTATAAATTGGAAGAACACAGTATACATATGGGTTTGACGGGAAACGAAAGCCAGCTGAGGAGCCGAGCCGAGTGGGACGGCAGCGAGGAAGGCGACAGCTTATTCGCGTTGCAGCTAGCAACCGCTGCAGTGCTTCCCATGGCGCTGAAGGCAGCGGTGGAGCTGGACCTGCTGGACCTGATGGTAGGTATACGTATTTTTATTACTCCAGTGCATATACATATTTTTATTACTCCATGCACTGTTTATTAGGGAGTAGTACCTCCTCAAGTTAGTGCTCTTTTCGTCTCACTATATATAATTGTTCTCTCTTTCATTTTCAAATTTGTTTCGTATCATATTTCATACTTTCCTCCGTTCTTAAATAAATGTAACAGTCAACATTTCACATTTGTCGAGGCACAACTTTGACCATTAATATATATAATTTCTGATTAGTAAAAGAAGCTTGAAAAATAGATTTTGAAAATTTATAATGAGAAAATTTTAACAATATTTTTTTTCAAAAATATATATTATTACATTAATAAATAAAACGTAGTCAAAGTAGAACATGTGAATAGTATTTGGTTATATTTGTGAGTGCTTGATAATGATCATTGTCATTTTATCATTTCATTATGAACCACATAACTTCACTTTTCTTAAAAATTACATCACTCTTCCTTGTTCCAATCTCAATGGGAGGAGGTAGTATATCTTATTCATACGGAGTATAAATTACTTATTAGTACTCACTAGAATATTGCATTTGAATAATTTAAATATATACAATTGATTTAATGATGGCCCGGACAGATAAAATGTGGTTGACGGCGGAAGAATTAATTGATTTAATTGATTTATACAATTCCGGCATATGTATCGCAAAAGAGTTCTGGGAAAAATCTAACGGTCGGCCGTAGGCAGCAGCCAGCGGTTCAGCGACTTAGGGATGGGGGCAGTGCTCCAACCCTATGAGGTTATTTTGGTCCAAACGCAAATAAAAATGTCATAAATAACTTTTTATAGTAGTAGTTCCTATTTTTGGAAAAATGCATTGATTTAGAAATATTTAGATAAATCTCTCTTAAATGTTTGATAAATATGGTACTCTCATTGTTATGAGTACTCTAACAATCACCTTATTAGATACCTTTGTTTTGATAGCTCAAATGTTAAAACTTTATATCCAAAACAAAAATGCATTATTTTGTTATGTGCATAATTTATTTTTCATATTATATGACAATTATTCGTGTTTTATAAAAAGTTTACAAAAATATTTTAGTACTACCCTATATAAAATACTTTAATTGTACTATGTGAAATGTTTAAAAAAATATCCTACACTGTTTCAAATTTGGACACTCCATTATTTTCTATCATTTCTAGACTCAATCCTAGGACTCATTTGATGAAATCGATTGAATCAATTGAATTTTGTTGATTTTGAAAAATATTCAAAATATATTTTAGTAATAAAATTGAGAAAATATTACATGAAAATGGATAAAATTATCCTCTACAATAATTTCAATCAATTCAGCCAATAAGTAACTTCAACCTTATTTATTTTTATTAATACACAATGCAACGTGTGAGGTAAAAATGACAAAATAGTTGACTGATAAAGTTAACAAACTAAACGTAGGGGTACCAAACTCTTTTATGTAGGCATGTCTAGAGTACTCGTTCATAATCTAAACACAATAGATTTGGAAATTAAACATGCTGGGGACCAAAAAATGTTGACTTTGCAAAACAAATTGGGACGGAGGGAGTACTATCGTATTACCAAATAACATAGGTAAAATGAGAGTGCATGGTTTGCCTAAATATTACTACGCACTTAAATAAAAGTGATGCAGTACAAATAAAACATATATTTGTGGTAAGTTACTACAAATATGTCAACATAGTCAGTATAATGTAAGTTATTCAAACCTGGCCTGTTAGTTTACCTTTCACTTTAGAGATTCAAATTCCGAGTTACTTAAACCCTGAATTAAGTTGGTCATGCATTAGTTAGAGCAGTGATTTCAATGTCTAAAAGTGATGATATAGTTTTTCTTATTCTCAAAGCTTTATTATAGGCCGTTTCATAAATGATCAGGTAATTTAAGTTGACGATTTACCGTAAAAATTATCCTCAAGAGTTACTCAGCTAGACAGCTAGTTATGCCTCACACATTGACGCTTATAGCGAGTGTAAGTTGATTAAGAGATTTGCTGAGCTAAACCTTGGGGGACTAGTGCATAGGCCACTTGTTGAGAGAAAACTCAAATACTCCGTATCATTTTTAGGGACATGAACTTAAGACCCAAATTAATTGGACAAACCCTACTAATAGGGGCGGAGTCAAGGGAGGATCAGGGTGATCAGTCGACCCCGCTGAAAGTTGAGAGTATAGAAACGTATTATTGATATTTCCCCCAAATGTTGATATATTATGGCCCTCATAACTCATTATGAGTAAAAAGTTATGACTTCTACAAAATCAGCACTATCCAAACGATAATCAGCAAAATTTGATGTGTAATATTGATATTTCCCCCAAATTATAAAAATAAAGTATAATTAACTCATTACTTATGTGGCATGACTCAGAAACAGAGCAAAGACAATCTTTCTTATTGCTACGAGTGCCTATTTATCTAAACAACATATGAAATATTCAACTCGGACATTTTCTAAAAACGATCAACCGTTTTCATTTTGTATAGAGTTCATTTTCGACTCTCCTAGACCGTTTTTCTGGCTCTCCGTCACTGCCTACTTATCTTAAGTATACCTTACAAATTACAATCTTTCAAGCAATGATAAGTTTGAATAACTTTATCAATTTATTAACGATTCCATCTAACACTGAGATTCTACGAATGATGTGGTTCTGGTTGTAGAACAGAGCAAGTGACGATTTAAACAACTAAATCTGTAGCATGCTTTTCTAAGTATAGACCATTACCATGTAACCGGAGAACCTCTAATACAACACCAAAACTAAACAAATTCTAGTTTTCGCTTATCAAAATTGTCACCATACCCATGATGATAGAGAAAACAATATTAACAAAACTTTCCAACTTTACACATGTATAAAAAGGCTATGTTTGACTACATTATTTTATTATTTTAATTACCCTATTAACTTGGTTTTAAATGTTCACACAAATTTAAGGTATCACTTGAAAGAAGCAATACTTGAGGGTGGGATACCATTCAACAAAGGGTATGGGATGAGTCCATTTGAATATCCCAAAACAGACACAAGGCTCAACAAGATCTTCAATCATGCAATGTCAGATCACTCTACCCTTACTATGAAAAAAATTCTAGAAGGTTACAAGGGATTCAAAGGGCTCAAATCATTGGTGGATGTAGGTGGCGGGACCGGCGCCACTCTTAACATGATTCTCTCTAAACATCCAAATATTAAGGGCATTAACTTTGATTTGCCTCACGTTATTAATGATGCACTTCCTTATCATGGTATATCACTCACATAGTCACATATTATGTTATTCCAACCTCATTCAAAACTTAAACTTTAACTCGAAGTATCATATATTTTAATTTATTTAGGAATTGAGCATATCAGTGGAGACATGTTAGTGAGAGTGCCCCAAGGCGATGCCATTTTTATGAAGGTAGGATATTCTTTGATAATTTAATCTAGGCTAAAGGGTCAAATAGGCCTCGAACTAACTTAAAAAGTTCAATTCACCTTTTATATAGGAGGCTCTATCCGGCCATCGCCAATTGGGGCGGTTCTTAATGGAATTTTTTGATGAAATATTTTGAGTATCTTTTTCATTAAGTCTAGTTTAGTCATACCCAATTTCACATAAAAATTCAACCGGGAAGACAGACAAATGATTTTCTGAAATGTACTTCGCTGCGCAGTTAGTTTCAAAAATTCCACCGGGAAGACAGTCAAATGATGCCATTTTTTTATTTAAGAATTATTCGTATATTCTTTTTTTTAAAAAAATTACATTTTAAATTTATAATTTTACACTTCATTTATTTTTGGATATTTTTAATTTTCGGGTTTTATTTTCAAGTTCGAATTTTACTATTTTTATATTTCTGGTTCTATATTTTTTACAATTCATATGATAATTTAAGAAAATACAATTTTTTAGCTGTATTTTAAATGACCTGCTATAAAATCAAGATGGGTTGGCATGATTGTGTTTTCAATGTAAACATGTTTATGTGATACCTTTTTAGCATATGAGTTCATATTGTGATGGATTTGGAATACCGAAAGGGTCTATTTGAACGTTTTCCTAGCTTGGAATACTGGGGTTTGTTTTCCTAGCTTGAAATGACTTAACAGTACACTCATATTAATATTTACATAATTCTATCTATTTTGTTACCTAAGGTTTCATCGCAATAACATGTTATTTAAATTCTTAGCATAACTCAGCTCTGTCTATTTCATTACCTCAGATTCAAATACAATAAAACATCATATATGTAACTTTGTACATTATCGATCTCATTAGCTGTTTGAACTTACTTAAAGTGAGTGAAGTATATGCTTAATTAGATGTGATTTATAATGTATCTGTAGTGGATATGTCATGATTATTGGAGTGATGATCATTGTCTAAAGTTCTTGAAGAATTGCTTTGAAGCACTTCCGGATGATGGGAAAATGATCATTGCAGATTACATTCTACCAGAACAACCAGACACATTCCACGCAGAAAAAGGTGTGATCCATACTGATATTCTCATGTTAGCATATTGTGTCGGCGGGAAAGAGAGGACTGAGAAAGAATTTGAGGTCCTCAGATCACTAAGAGTGCCGGTTTCAAAGAGTTTCGCAAGGCTTACTTTGCTCTTAACACTTGGGTCATGGAACTCTACAAATGAATGGATCAGACCATTTTGGACTTTCTAATTTAGTTGTTCTCTTCCCACTTTGATTTTTAGAGTAAATAAAATTGTTGTGGGAATAACAACGGAACAATAAGGGGATGAGAACAACCAGTGACAATGTATAATGTGATAGTTCTATTGTTGTGTCTGTTTCAAATAATGTATACCTTGTTTGTGAAAGACATGTTTGTGCCTACATTTTTTCATTAAAACTGATCAAAATGAGGACAAATTGTTAGTGGAAATTCTGCATGCAATGGAATAATAAATAAATAATTATGGAAAAAACGTAAGATTACTTGTAACCGAGCCCAACGTAAACGTTGTTTCCTTAAGACGTTATTGTCTGACACACGTAGCAACCGTCTCCCAGGATAGAATGGTTCTTCGTTCCCAACGGGACACCGGCGAACTCAAAGATGCAACGAAGGAAGAGATAGTGCGGAGGAATTGTTTGTGAATTTTCGGATTCTCCAAAACTGAAGACAAGGCGGGTATTTATAGAGCTCTGGCCAGGAGTCTCTAACCCAAAAAACACCTATTAAAAGAAAGTTTATGACCTTTCTTTTAAAACGAATGATTGTGTCTTTTATTTGGTTTTATCTGAAAAACGTAGGAAAAATAAATCTTCCTATCTTAAGACCAATTGTTGACCAATTATTTGGACCTGTTACTGGGTCGGTTGTACGGTGCTCACCGTACAGCCGGTTGTATAATATAGGCACTCATTTTTTATTATTACTACTCCGTACTTTTCATTCCCTAATACTTGCTTGGCGCTTAAAAAAATAGAGACACGTGAGAGAGTTGGGGAACACTAGTTACGTTCTAGACAGACACAAACATAGGTTCAGCCTAGCTATCGTTAAACCTGAATGGATAAACCAAAATTTATCCAATCTGGCCACTTCAATGCACATATATTTTGTATTATTACTACTCCGTACTTTTCATTCCCTAATACTCTCTCCGGTTCTTAATTAAGTTCCTAGTTTGACTTCACATATATTAAGAAATAAATTTGACTTTACTGTGGAGTGCACTGTTTGAACACTGTTTGGCACTGTTTAAACACTGTTTGAACACTATTTGGCACTGTATTGGTGGAAATCATTTGCCAAATAAGGAAAGATTTGAAGTAGAAACTTTAATATGAACTATCCCAAAAAGAAAAGTAGGAACTTAATTACGGGACGGATGGAGTACTTGCTTGGCGCTTTAAAAAAAATAGAGACACATTAATGGATAAACCAGAATTTATCCATTCTGGCCTTTTCAATGCACATATATTTTGTATTATTACTAATCCGTACTTTTCGTTCCCTAATACTTGCTTGGCGCTTTAAAAAAATAGAGACACGTGACTGCGTGAGAGAGTTGGGAACACGTACTAGTTCTAGACAGACATAAACATAGGTTCAGTCTATCGTTAAACCAATTAGAGCATCTCCATTCATGATCTCTAATAATCAAATTTTTCTATGATTCTTACAATTTAAATATTGTAATGCAATTGATTTTAAAATAATCTCAAAATTCGTTTATGTCTCTCAAACATCATCCTCAAATAATCTACTTTTTCTGTGTCCTGCATTAATCTTCATTACATATATATTTCAAATAATCTTAAAATAATCCGGATTCATATTTTGATCCCGGATTATTCTAGCAAATAATCCCATTAAATAATCTATATCACGTAATGATAATTCTCTAAAAAAAATTGTCATGCCACCAGGGGCAGAGCTGAGGTTGTTCAAGAGGGTTCATGTGAACACCCAAAAATCTCAATTTTTAGCATCAAAACGTCGTTGTTTTGTTATTCTCTGAAAAAAATAAACCCCACGTACCGTTTCTGGGTTTCTCCCTAAATCTCACTTGCGTTTTAGAAGCTTGCCAAACCTGTCCACACCTCCACTACGTAGCCAGCTACAGTAGACTAGTATCCACTCAGAGAAGAATTGCAGCTCGCTCCTCTATCTCGCAAGTTCTAATCGTCGTCTGCCAAATCGGAAGTTGGGATCTCTTTGCTCTCGATTGAGTTATTGAGATTGAGTTATCTTATTATTCTGTTTCAACGAATTCAGTCTCTGCTCTACCTATGAATTTGAAGCTTCATAGGATGATGACTCTTAACTCCACTTTATATGAATTTGAAGCTTCATAAGACGATGACTCTTAACTCCCGCTTTATAAATAACCCAGTGGCTAAATTAGGAGGATGTTTTTGCTTCATTTAGTTGTGTTAATAAAAAATCCACTCAGCTGATTAAATTATTAATCAATACTCCATAATTCCGTACGCGTATTCCAATTAATTTTAATTGGATTTTTTGAACACCCAAAACATAAAGGGTAAATCCGCCACTGCATATCACTAATTTAATCTTATGATAATCTTACCAATGAGGATGCTCTTAAGGGTCTAAGACTATATGAACCCTAAAAATAATATACAACCCCAATTATATTAGAATATTAATTATTATATTACATATATATATATTCTAAACTATTACGGTTACCGTCGTCGTCATCATCATTACTATACAATGACACCCCATCCCTGAGGGCCCCCCAACACCGACCGGACAGCACGATGGGAGGATGTAAATTGGACTATAATCACAATCTGACAGATAGAGAGTGGGGCTCTGTCCCCGGTACTTGCAGAAGCCCTATGCATTTTTCAGCATAGTAACCCCTCATCGCAGTTGCCGGGATTCGAACCCGAGACCTAACCCTTGTGGCACTCCCTTGCTACCAGTTGAGCTACGCCCACCGGGATTAGAACATGCAGGTTAGTTGACACATGTATCCCCACATGAAAATAATTGTGTCTTTGGAAGCATGTATAGTAGTAATATTCTGCACATATACTGATATACTTGTCTGTTTTTCTATGGCATTTGCACGAGTATTAATTTAATAATAATGACTATATATATTTTGTTGCGGGCTTCTTCTGTAGTCTCTTAATTTGGAGCTATTCCAATTTGCAAATGCAAATGAAACCACGTAGCTCTAACAATTTGTCTATTTTATTAATTTGCAAACCACACGCCCATTTTTATCTACTTGTTTAATTAAGGTTAACTTTTTTCAAATCAACTCATTTATTTTAAATTGATACTCGTACTATTTTTAAAAAAATATGTTAACTCTTATCCTGTAACGTGAAAATTTGAGATTGTTACATATATATACTTATACTAGCTATACACATTTTTTTTATTTGATTAGTGGTTTCATCAATTGACATTTGACCTACACCATAATCTACAAGGTAGCTCTGTCCATGGTTATTATTAGTATCAATCAGGGGCGTAACTAGGATTGAAGGTTGGGCTGGGCCGGTACAAAGAATTTTTCAGATAAATTTTTTCATATGACTTTTTAGACTAAAAATACAAAGAATTTTCAAATTTGGGGTTGGCCACCCCTCTAGCTCCGCCCCTGGTATCAATGATCCTTGTTACAGGGTGGATAATGTGACCTAACTTTAAGATCAAATATACACAGACATACAATACACACGCATATAGATATATATGGATATTTGTGTGTAACAAAAATTAATATATAGTACGTAATACACCGTAATAATAAAATATGATAACAAATGGATTTTATGGTATAAACCTATCTATAAATAGTCAATTTACATGAATAAAGATATACGAAGTACATCGTAATATCTTACCAAAAACATTGTCAATTTACATGTTAAAACAATAATTTCACCAAATCTATTAAATTCCTCTCATTTTAATTTTATTTGTAATATTGTAAACAATATTAAAATGTTGTTAAGTTCTTTTCATTAATAATTTCAAATCTCATTTTTAATTTTTCACTAATAAGGAATAAAATTTACTAATTTTTTAAAATCTTTTCTAATAAATTTCAATTTTAATTTTTTTACTAATAATTATTTACTATTAACACAATTGTGCATTGACAAACATAAAATTGGAGAGGATGCAAATAAAAAAGAATAGAGAAAGTATTACCTAATAGGTGTATATAAGTACATTGTCCTAGGTATTAGTTACTCATTATAAAAATAACGAATAAATTCCACTTTTGATCGTAAGAGTATCGCACCAACTCCTCTATTTGCTCATGTCTTTGATTGACCACTTCTGTTATATGACTATTGTGTTTTTGTTCATATATGGTCCTTCCATGTGTTTCCGGTGGTTAAATGGTCAAGAAACATTATTCAATTCAAGTATCGAAAGTGGACAAAGTGAAAGATGTGGAAATCTGAACTTGACACAAAAATCATAGGACAAAAGGTGGAATTAATTCTAGAAATAATTGTTAGGAACTCAGAACTCTTATTGTGAAGTGTTTTACAAAGTATATACTACATACAGAGTAATAAATAAAAGGTGACAATTACGATACTCATTTAAAAATGGGGTACAGTACCTATCATTCAATTGATTGGTCCAAATCATTATATAATTTTTAATTTAAGTAATTCAAATGCAACATTCTAATCGACCCATGTGGACAAATAATATATGATACCTTATGGGTACTAAAGAATTCCCCTAAATAAAAACAAAAACTGACAAACCCAAACATAGAGCACGTTTGCTGACCCTGTTTTTCACCTTATCAGCGTACTTTTTTATCAAACACGCGCGTTACATTAGATTTCGCTCACTGAATTGTGTATAATAAGAAAAGGTGAGGTTGAGGTTACTTTTTTATCTGTATTGGCTGAAATTATAATTGAAGACTATTTTAACTGTTTTTCATACAATTTTTTCTTTGTTGGATCAATAAAGTACATTTCTAATATAATTTTTTTTATAAATGAGTGGAATCAATTGATCCAGTCAATTTAACTAGAATTTCAAAAATTTGAGCAGAATAAATCAA